ACAATGAAGGATGTAAAATAATCTCTTCCGTTGTTTCAGTTGATAATAAAGATTCCTGGAATGTAAGATCAGCATCAAATACTGAAGTAACATATCATGTCAACCGTGTAGACCATGAATGTACTCAATTATGTGTGGTTAGGTGTTTTGCATGTTATGCTTGTATAAAAGGATACACGTGCACTTGCTATGACAATGCACTTCATGGAAATCTCTGCAAGCACATTCATGCAGTGGCAGAATATGACTGCATTAAGAAGAAACAAGTTGTAAAGGAAGATTACAGCAATGTAATTGGCAGAAATATGGAAATTGAAGAACTAAATAGAGTTCACATTAAATCTTTCTCTGCCACTTACAAGCCAGAACAATCTTCTTCTACTGCACATATAGTATCATTAGCAAATCAGGTAGTAGAAGCTATTGCAGATATGCAGGGAGAAGTCCCTGAGGCAGTTGCACAGGATGTTTGCAAGCATCTTAAATCTGCACTTAAATTAATACAAATGGGAAAGAATACTCCTGATATAACACTGATAAAGAAGAGTGAAGAATCCCAACCATGGAATAAAAAAATTATACCTCAAAAGAGATTCTATTCCACAAAAAAACAAAGCCAAGAAGCCTAGGTTGGTTAAACCATCAGCTGGTGAACAAAAAGAACTTGAAACTGTCTTGTGCCAACAAGCAAGTGTAATAAACAGTGGTGATATGGATCATTCATATTTGTGAAAACTTAAGTTTATGAGAGATTTTAACTTTCATATTGTATTTAGAATATATTAGAATGTAAATAAAACAAAATCCTATAATTTGTTTAAAATTTCAGTCTTTCATTTTTTCAATCATATTCCAATCTTCACAAACCAATTTTAATATGTTCTTTTGTATTTAAATTTAAAAGGAAATATTTTAAAAATTTAATAAATTACTCTATAATTTTAGCTCAAATTTTATTTGGATAATTCAGATTTTAATCGATTGAACTAAAGTTAACTATATCAGGGTTAGGTTTTTTTTTAAATCTCGTGAAAACCAAATAAGGATGCCTATGGAGAAAATTGAGTTTGGTTTTGTGGAACATTTCAAAGATAAACGTTAAGGCCCTGTACACACTAGGCGTTTTTCAACGCGCGTTAAACGCTCGTCGAACGCCGAGCTAACGCGCGTTAGCTCGGCGTTCGACGAGCGTTTAACGCGCGTTGAAAAACGCCTAGTGTGTACAGGGCCTTAACGTTTATCTTTGAAATGTTCCACAAAACCAAACTCAATTTTCTCCATAGGCATCCTTATTTGGTTTTCACGAGATTTAAAAAAAAACCTAACCCTGATATAGTTAACTTTAGTTCAATCGATTAAAATCTGAATTATCCAAATAAAATTTGAGCTAAAATTATAGAGTAATTTATTAAATTTTTAAAATATTTCCTTTTAAATTTAAATACAAAAGAACATATTAAAATTGGTTTGTGAAGATTGGAATATGATTGAAAAAATGAAAGACTGAAATTTTAAACAAATTATAGGATTTTGTTTTATTTACATTCTAATATATTCTAAATACAATATGAAAGTTAAAATCTCTCATAAACTTAAGTTTTCACAAATATGAATGATCCATATCACCACTGTTTATTACACTTGCTTGTTGGCACAAGACAGTTTCAAGTTCTTTTTGTTCACCAGCTGATGGTTTAACCAACCTAGGCTTCTTGGCTTTGTTTTTTTGTGGAATAGAATCTCTTTTGAGGTATAATTTTTTTATTCCATGGTTGGGATTCTTCACTCTTCTTTATCAGTGTTATATCAGGAGTATTCTTTCCCATTTGTATTAATTTAAGTGCAGATTTAAGATGCTTGCAAACATTCTGTGCAATTGTCTCAGGGACTTCGCCCTGCATATCTGCAATAGCTCCTACTACATGATTTGCTAATGATACTATATGTGCAGTAGAAGAAGATTGTTCTGGCTTGTAAGTGGCAGAGAAAGATTTAATGTGAACTCTATTTAGTTCTTCAATTTCCATATTTCTGCCAATTACATTGCTGTAATCTTCCTTTACAACTTGTTTCTTCTTAATGCAGTCATATTCTGCCACTGCATGAATGTGCTTGCAGAGATTTCCATGAAGTGCATTGTCATAGCAAGTGCACGTGTATCCTTTTATACAAGCATAACATACAAAACACCTAACCACACATAACTGAGTACATTCATGGTCTACATGGTTCACATGATATGTTACTTCAGTATTTGATGCTGATCTTACATTCCAGGAATCTTTATTATCAACTGAAACAACGGAAGAGATTATTTTACATCCTTCATTGTGTAGCTTAGAAATATTTGCCATCTTTTTGCTGATCTTTCCTTTATGAAATTTTCTAATTTCATCAAACTCCTTGTCCAGAAGAAATTCCTGCAAAACAGATATGCATCTGTCCATTCTTTTGGTCTCTCTGCCAAGCATGTAGTTGTATTTAAGGTTTCTGTGAAAATTTTCTAGATGCATGTTTGTATTGATTCGCAGACCTACTCTAAAGCAGTATGCCCACTGCTGTGTTCTATTGGCATAGTACTGCATCAGATAAGCCCGGAATCTTTCAGTATCTTCACAGCCTTCTAGCTCTTCAAGAAGAGCAGAGAACATCTTTAAAAATGTTTTCATCAAGTTGCAACTGACAAGTTTTTAAGGCTTCATATATTTTTTGTTTTTTTACTTTGTCAGTTATAGTGTTAAGCTTTCCTTGCCATGCTCTGTCAACGTGCCAAGAACAAAGTAAGTGGTGAGATGGTGGACCCATGACTTCCTTCCATGCATTAAAAAACTTAATGTCATCATCACTCATAAACACTTTACAGTGAATTTCACCTACTATTTTTTTTAATGAATGCAAAAATTTACTTAAAATGACTGTGTTAACTGTGGAGCTTATGCAGAAAGCAACAGGTACACCTTCTTCATAATTATCTACAACAAGGAGTGTGGTTAATTCAAAGCCATAACCAGTGACACCATGTGTAGAATCTATACAAATACGATCATTACCATGAAGCTCCAGCATCCTTCTCTGGAAAGGAGTCATAAAAGCTAGCACAAAATCTTCCTTTCTTAGTCCTTCTTCACAATCATCCTGCTTCTTGTACATCAGGATGCTATCTCCTCTGCCATTTTTTTGCATATCATTTACCCATGTTTCCATGCTTACAATGTCACTTTCATGTATTTCATTCAGAAATTGAGTGGAGATTCCAAAACTTGTACAAATATTATGGAGATCTTTATTTGAGATGAGATGCTTCCTTTCAATATCATTTTCCACTGACAGCTTATCTCTCAATATTCTCCTCTTGCTGATACCTTGTGATAATTTTCCTAAAATGAAAAAACATTTTTGTTATTAATAATCATTGAATATTTTTCCAAGATCATATGGGGTGATCAGCCTTAACACAAAATGTAATGAATTTAATATTTAACTGTTCACTTAAAAATGAGAAGTATGTGAATTTTATAGAAATCTAACCAAAGAGAAATGTAACAGGAAATGAGACACTCAGTCTAAAAGATGTGTATACACAGTTTCTGTACATAAGATATATGAAAGAAAATGGGAATGACAATTTTAAGTTGCTGTGACCCTAAGTACTACTTCGTTTATGTAATATAAGGTACTTAATGTTTCCAAAATTATTACCTGCTATTTCTTGTCGTGTTTCATTAAGTAGTGGGATATGTCCAAGTTTGAAATCATGACCATAATGAGGTTTGATGTAAGTTACTTGTACATTATTTCTTCCTTCTAGCACATTCATTGCTGAGGTGCAGTGATCTTGAATTTTACAGGATTCTAGACATCTATTAGGTCGTTTACTCTGTAGCTGTTCATATCGTTTTCTTCCAGTCCTGTTACAATAGAAATAATATTTGTTTTCTCCTGTTGACTTTTTTGTGCGAGGCCCACAAGGTGCAGAATATTTAGAGATGGTTCTCAATTCCTCTGTCACTTTCCATTCATAGAAATCTGTCAAATAAGTAATATTTTTATTTACTACTGAATGAGCTGTTAACATTCATGAAAACAATTATTTTAAAACATATTAATTAAATACAGCATTTTTAAGATTTCAGAACAGAATTTACTTACCCTTCATATTTTTAAATTCCAGCTTCTCAACTTCAAAAGCAAATCCATGTACTTTCTCCAAATGTTCTCGTAATTGATGAGAAGTAAAAAATCCTTCGGAGCATGAGGTCTCGCGACAGAATATAGTTTTTTTTTTTCCACAATGACTTGCTTATGAACTAATCTTACATGCTTGTTAAGATTTCCCTTCGAGGAGAAAGGCTTATCGCAATAATAACAAGTATTTTCTATGTCGTTCAATGCAGTAATATTCTCCATAGCGATTTTTTACCTACAACTGTAGCAAGAATAATTTAAAACCAATTATCAATGTTAAAGGATGAGTTTAAAACTAAAATATTGACAAAAGAAAATTTCATAAACACCATACAGCACGACGTATAGACGATCTGAATGTCACGATACTAGTGGCATCTCGTGGTAAAATCCAGAACTACGGCTACGGAATCGTTCTGTAATTAGACGCCAGTATAAAGTATGGGGTCTGTTAGAACCGCTTTACCTAATTTCTAAGCGGAGTGATTCGGAGAAAAAGCCAACAAGCTAGAGTCTCCACATTAATAAGACAAGAAAGAAAGAAAGAATTAGAAAGTGTTAAACATACAATGGTAAATAATAAGTATTGCTGTGTTTTTGGATGTAAGTCTAAAGATTCACCAAATTCAGTAGATATGCACACATTAATCCCAAAAAGATAACTTTAGTTTTATTTCCCACTTTTTTCGCAATAATTTATCACTTCAGTTTCACCAATATCTAATTTTGTTGAGCTTAAACTTCTATTTTCACAAATGTTTTCAACCTATTTAATATAGGCCATCGTCAGGTTTAATATTATAAATGTTCCAAAATGGAACGTATCGTTTTCGAACATTTTACATACTTAAAATTCAAAAATATAATTGGCTGTAACTATAGATTACCACCTATGAAATTTCGGGATTATGAGTAGGCTATATATTTGAACTCGTCTCGGTCCCCGAGTTCAAATATATACTCAAAGTTCCGAAATTTCATAGGTGGTAATCTATAGTACAGCCAAAATTCCTTTTGAATGATCAGTTTTACTCTTTCTTTTGCTCTAGATTCCGCTCGATCCGCCAATGAAATGCGACCAAATGCATTCAAACCTACGAGACTGCCCAATTGCATAAATTCAAACGTGTCATCATTTGCACCGCTTTATAATTGTTGTGATTAATAGGATTAGATTAAAGGACTTTAAATTTTTGAGTGCTATTCGTACATATCAAAACAATAAGCAAATAATCAAGTTGGCGGTAATAAACTCGATCATTTAGTGGTCTAAAACTCGCTTAACTGGAAATTGTTTAGAACTATTTTTAATCGTTCTTAAAACAGTTGCATGTTATTGTTAGTGATTCGGTCGGCTTTAATGAAGCAACGAACCCGTAACCTTTGAGCCATCCTCATATTGCATAATAAACTTAATGAATGTTGATCATTTGTTATTAAAGCATACAATTTTATCTTATTCATATTACACCATATCATAACGTATTTTGTCTGTAGGTTAAGAATGGCTTCTTGGCAAAATGAACATCTCTTCCTATCCACAAAACTGGAATATTTGATGAAGTCCAAATGTCTGTCTGATGTAATATTCGTTGTGGGCAAGCCTCCTGAACAAGTCCAATTTCCTTCTCATAAACTTCTCCTTAGTATCTACAGTGATGTACTTCAGGCCATGTTTTGTAATTATTCGGAGACGAATAACGCAGCTGTTCAGATTATCAACGTCGAGGATACAGAAGTGAATATTTTTGAACAACTGCTCATGTAAGTAGTAAAAATATACTCGACCATTCCCACTCCAACCTTGAAAAATTTTATTTTAAATACAGTCGACCCCTTATAACACTGTTGATTATTCCGTTTTATATGAATTCCATGTTGTACGAGTCACTTAGATTTTACAAATACGTATGCCGGGCTGTGAACGGCTCACATATTTGTAAAATCTAAGTGACTCGTACAACATGGAATTCGTATAAAACGGAATAATCAACAGAGTTATAGGGGGTCGACTATATATTAAAATTACTGTATTTGTATTTTCTTTTCAGATTTATTTACACAGAAAAGATTGATGTCGATTATTTACCCGACGTATTTAAAGTTTATTATTTAGCAGAAAAATACAATATATATCCTTTAATGTTCCATTGTATGACAATAATGGAAGCGGAACTCGCTGCAGATAATGTTTGTATTGCCTATCACATATCACTTCTTAATAAAGACAAAGATTTGGCTAAAAACTGTGCAGAAATAATAAAAAATGAAACGGTAGCAGTGCTGAATTCTAACGCTTTTTTGAAATCATCTGTTGAAGTAGTGGAAAAAATCGTATCTTTCGATTTTCTTAAAATCCCAAATGAACTTTTTCTCTTTGAAGCCATTCTGAAATGGGTTAAAGAATTTGCTAAGAGAAAATGTAAAACACCAATACCTAGTGTTTCAAGAAAGATATTGAGATGTATTTTGCCTCATATAAGATTTCTTACCATGACTCGTGATGAACTATTTAGCAGTCCGGCATCGAGCGAAATTTTGCTAAAGGAGGAGATCGCGGCCATAGCTATGCATATATCCCATCCAAAACTGTTTCCTGCTTTGCCAAAATGGTGCAACTGGAAGTATAAAAATAGAATTGAAGAGGATAAAATAGTTGAAAAGTCGTTTAAATTTTGCAATTCATACAAATTAGATAACAAACTTTCGAACGGAGATGCAAAAATAATTATGAAATGTTTCATTAAGCCATATGTGACAGATATTAAATTGAATGTTCTCACTTTATGCTGTGAAAAATTGACAAATGCTCCAGACATCTATATTGGCGAACAAACTGAAACTCCTCGATTGGCAGAGTTTAAGGAAGCGAAAAATGATAAATCCGATTCAAAATATACGATTGAATTTATAAAACCAATTACAATGAAGAAGAATTTGAATTACTATGTCAAAGTATTAAGTAAAGAATCCGTGATCGTGTGCGAAGAATCGATTTGCTGCGATAAATTATATAATGCTTTCTATCTGGGTGTAATTTATGTTCAGAATAGTAATTGTCATTTGTGTAGCATTTCGTTTTCAGTTGTTAAAGAAAATAATTTCAAAGATTTACAAAATAATAAAGAGAAACCTATAATGAACGAAAACATAATAGTTAAAAATGCTATTGATACAGGAGTATTGTTAAATAATCACAAATCTTCTAGCAAAGCAGAAAAGCCTCTTCTGAATAACAACAATTTTTCAACTATTTCAATCCCTGATATTACTAAATTGAGGAAACCTCAAATATTACAATTGGATGACCAAGCGCTTAAACTTGACTCTACCACGCAGGAAGAACGCAATGCGCACCTCGTAGAAGCCATGAAAAAGTTGTCGATGGTAATCCCTTCCCAAATACCTGTAAGCCTGACCGATACACCCAAAGGCTTGTTTAACGAAAATCAGCACTAACGTAAGAAAACAAGACTACAATGCGCCAACGCAACGCAATCATAGACTACAGACGACATGATGAAATTGCATTGATCATGGAGGTGATGCTGGAACTTTACCTGGCGCCGTTCTCATGTAGCTTAAAAAAGGATGATTACCTACAAAAAACGACAAAATTTCCTAGCTATGGTGATTTCTAGTAACTGTGAACGAATCAAAAGGCTGCAATTCGCGCTTAAAAAAAAGTGGAATATTGCAAGAAATTCACGACTTTCTAGTAAAAAAAGATTAACGAGAACATTTATTAGCTTACATACATACGACTTGAATCTTACACAAAAGGCATCTGCTATCATGAACAATTGACGAAATAAAAGTATACATTTATCAGATAATAGACAAAGACTCAGTTTGTAAGCAATTTACCTTTTGTATATACAACTGACAAGGTTATCTTTCAAATTATAAACAGACTCGATCCTGAGCGGTCTTTTTACAAAAAATGAACAGATAGCGCCTAACTCAAGCGCGGTTTACAATAACGAATATGATTAATCTTAATACTAGCTCAGTTGTTATTTGGAGTTGCATGTCGGGTAAAGGACCAGGCATCTGGTTGATGCAGGAATGAATAGTCAAGCTGTTCATTCTTACATTAATTCCCAGATATACGTTTACGTTTTGGAGAAATTTCTTACTCCATCCATCGAAAATATGTTTGGTGGTAATGATATCATTTTCCAAAATGACAACGCGTCTTGTCATAGGGCTCGAACCGCTAACAATTCCTTCACCAACAAAACTTCAATACAATACAAAGAAATGTAAACGATTGGAATATTTTTATTGTATCAATAATATCTAATATCGTTTAGTTATCTAAATGCTATATTTGCTAAATAAAAAATGCAAAATATCCGAGTTTTTATGAGTTTTTACTGAAAGTTCGTTGGATTGATTTTTAGTCTGAATAGTAATAATGGTGAGTGAATATTTTTTATAAAATAAAAAGTGATGTTGCTATTGATGGAAAAGTTACGAGAATCCTTACATATATCCAAAGACTACGAGGAACGTCCAGAAATTAACTTTCGATTAGAAAAGAACAGAATTTAGTGATATATCGCTTAATATGAAATTAGAGAATTGAAGTATTTAGGGAATTAAATAAAATTCCACTAATCTGACTATTAAAAAAACTTAAAATTGAATTTTTGCGTACTGCTATGATAATTTGAAGACCTATTAATGTATACGAAGTTTCAGAATTGTAGGCAAAATAGTCCTGAAATGGGTCTTTCTGTATTGAGTGGATTGATGGGATAAGAAAACACAACACTTGGACCAGTTAGCATAGAGTCCATTGTAACATTAAAGTTCTTACGAGACCAAAATTCGGGACTGGATTTGCACATAAGCTAAACGAACTGCTGCTTAGGTCCTCACAATTTTATATTTATCATTTAATTAGATTAATTTGTTAAATAAAATCATATTGCTAAATTAACATTACTGCATAACTTTTGAAGGCACCTATAATTTTTTTACTCGTTAATCTTTTTTACGAACAGACCCATAACAAAAAACAAGTTTGTTTTTATTTATATTTTGTATTTTGATAACACTAACCGAAACAGTAAACTGCCATTTAATGCACGTTACTGGACATTTTAAATATCCGGTAACGAGTTGCATAAGTTTCCTGACAAGAGTTAAAATTGTGTGTGGCGCCAGAAGATAAAGTTTTTAAATATAAAATCTTTAAATATTTTAAATAAGATAAAATAAGTTCTTAAATAAAATCTCATTTTTAAATAAAATGAGATTTAAGAACTTATATCATTAAGTATGTTAAAAAGGCAAAAGACTAAATTTTTAGATTGTAGATGATTTTTTCAGAATTATTATAAATGCTAATTAACGATTAAACTTTTCATTAAGTTCGACCCTTCGCGGGATATTACATCTTACCTCTTCTCTCCCCACTCCTTGACGTTTAACCATCAAAATTTGATAGCATCAATGTTCCTTCTATACAAGTTACCATGTCAAATTTTTTGTTTTTTCCTTATCTTTTACACCGTCCTGAGATATTAAACTAAATATACGCCATTTTTTGTTCAGGGTTCTCAAAACGTCGATATTTTCAAAAAATCCAGTAACGAGTTGCTTAACTTTCCCAGCTGTTAAAAAATTTAAATGTTTATTATGTGGTGGCGCCATCTATTACGAAATTTTGTTATAAACTTTGCCATTTTATAATTTTAATTGAGGGTAACGACGAGTTTCATGAAATTTTAAATGCTAATGAGCAATTTTTTTATTGTGACATAGTCACAATGCCGGGCTGCAATTTTTAATCATACTTTTAATTTATTTAACTTCAAATATATGTTTCTCCACATCAAATTAATACTGTAATGTCTTGCCCCTGTACAGTACATAATACGTTTCCGTTAGATGACCGGCACAACTCCACTGCTAACTCTTTTCAGGGGAAAATTTGAATTGAAATAACGTGATTTCCAGTTTGCATCGGAAGTTCGTGTATAGTATATAATCTTTCCAAGTCTGGTCTTGAATTTCACTTATCTAACACTGTTCTCGAGATTAAGGAACGACAGTGGGAATTTATAGGTCTATAAATATTTGAACACCAAAGAAAGTTACCCAGATTAAACGATTTGGTAAGAATCGTGTTGGAAAAAATTTGACTAAAATTAACAATTTATACGACGTGTAATTACATAATTAATAATTAAACAGAACTCATTTAAATTAAAATGTGACAATTAAGAAAATTCGCCGACTAAATACAGAACATGGATATTGCAGATGTATTAAATTTTTTCTTTTCCCCGTCACTCTCTCTTTTATGTAAATACTAGCAGACCCCACCACGCGTTGTTGTGGCTCAAAATGTATCTATTATAAATTTATAACACTTCCCCGTGGGGGGGAATTTTTCGAAAAATTTTTTCTTAGTGTACATTCTGTTGACGTACCCTATTAAAACGCAAAAACCGCATCTAAAATAGTATAAATAGAAGCAGAGTTCTTTACGGTAAGCCTTAATCCTAACCATCTCCCTTCAGTGGGGGGAATTTCGACACGTATACAGGTATACCTCGCCTTACGTCGGTAATTGGTTCCAGGAGAACGACGTAAGTCGAATTTACTTGTCTCCGAATCTACTTACCACTAGGCTAAACCGTAAATTACCATTCCCGGTTCTGTATTTTATCTATTAATGCATTTTTAATATATGGTTAATAAAAATCTATTTTAAGCTTACAAACAAACGAATTTTAGTTTTTTAATATAGTACAGAAAAAAGTAATCTAAATTCACGAATGCATGTACTGGTACTGTAAATACAGTACATACTGTACTTGTATATATTTTAATGTGATTTTATGTGCTTTAAACGTTTTTCTAGTGAAATTACGACTTCAATATTTGTGGCGGACAGACGTAAAGTCGAGTAAAATGACTTAAACTTGATTTTTATTTTTCCATATACTTTTTTGACAAACGACGTAAGTCGAGGTATGCCTGTATTATATAAAAACACGTGCGCATTCGAATGCAGCATTGTGTCAAAATTTCAAAGGAATCGGTAGGAACAAACGAACATTACATTTTTAGTTTTATAATTAGATAGAAGATGATCTGCTTTAGTTCATTTTCACAGAAAAGCGTAATGCCTCACAGAAAAGCAAACTTAGGGCGTCGTACTCGTAGCGCAATCTGTTGGACATAAAAGCCTTAACCTAGATTATATATTTTAATTTATATGAATGTTTAACGGAATAATATACAGCCTATGTCCATCCTGAGGTTCCATTCTAAATATTGGTGAAAGAATTTTTGAAATTGGATGAGTAGTTTCGGAGATTACCTGCTGCAAACAAACTTGCATACATACATACATTACCTCTTTATAATATTAGTATAGATTAATTGAGAAAATTTTGTTGCATGCATTATCCGATTTTAATTGTGTTGTCTCTATTTAATTTTCCATTTCTTTTTTTTCTTATAATATAGTTTATATAACAGGATCATAATATAATCATCTAGATGTGTGTTTCAATACATTCATCAACGTCGATACTATTTATAGTAACAAACGAAAATCGGAATAAGGGAAACAAATGAAACTTTAATCTATAATCCTTTATTTTTGTTTCTTCTGGCAATCAATCTTTGCAACAAACAACATTTTGTGACAGCAAAATAGTTACCAACGACAGCACCTTCGAGGGACGTTGTCCCGGCCCCAATACCTGCAAATGTTAAATTCGTCTTTCCCCCTCGTATTATAAAAATTGTATCAAAACATAATTTGTAGAAAATCAATTATTTGTTATTAAAAAAGATTGGCAAAAAATTTTAAGGCATACATACATATTAGATTCTTTCACTTTAAACATTTTAATATTTGGCAGGTATTGACTTGTCAAACAACAATTTTTGTCCTTCGTTAATTTATATTACTTCCCCACGATATGTCGGAACATTTTCCTTTCTTTCTCTTTATATATATATACCTAAAAGTTTGTCGTACATAACTTTTTACTAATTTTAGATCTTTTATGAAAATATAAACAGGAACATGTTTGTAAAATTGGAAGATCCCCATTACAAAAAGTACTGAATATATAACGCTACAAATCTATATCAAAAGTACTTAAAAATATTTTAGGCACATAATTCGTGAAGTACTAATTAATTAAAAAATGGCATTCTAATTGGAGGAGCGACATGGCCACGGGAATGTTCCAAATAAGTTTTCGATCGCTGTGCGATTCGTGTGGCAAGAAACATTTTGTCGCATCCTTTTTCATTATCTATAGATATTGTGAAACCGATCACAGTTAATTTCCTGATTATAACAAGAAAATTAAGAAGTGTATAGAAGAATTTCAAGCAAAAAATGCTTCCTAATACTGTGACATATTCAAAATGCATATTGTAAAAAACAAAAAAACAAAGCAAAATTTGGAATGCTTTAACAGAAAAAAAGGCACAAAACAAAATATTCAAAAATTACAAATGATAATCTGAATTATTAATTTTCATAATAGAATATTTTGGATCGTAATCTAACAAACTTGCTTTGCACCTTTTAAATGTAGTTACTAAATTAGTTAATATATTTATAAAAATGGCAGACGGGATTTTTTTACATGTTCTCAAACTGATCGACTCTTCGTTTAGTGTTCCCTTTGCGAATTTCTCGCAGCGTCTTGTATTTATCTCTTCCTTGCCGGACATTTTCTTGATGGAGTAAATCATTTCGAGTCAGCTTTGTATCATCTTTCTGCAGTGCCAGATCTTTGCTCAATAACTGAAAAGATAAATCAATATTTTGAAATTCTAATTTTAAAATTTGGCATAAAACAACTGACATTTTCAAAAAATATTCTGAATATAATGTAACTAGCAATCAACGCTAAATATTTTTAATTATTTAACTTACTTTCAATTGATCTTGTAAATGTTTTTCTTTAGAAACTTGAGTTATACGATCTTCTTCGGGACGTGGGATGTTAATAGAGTCATCTTTTGTTAAATCAGCACCTACAGTAGAAATAAGTCTTCCTTATAGAATAACCTTTTCTATCATCATCATTAAAATACAGTAGAACCTCGATTATCCGGATGGTTCAAAATAAACAAAAATTTTACGAATTTGCTGATTTTCACTTGGCAAACTGCCATACTGTTTATGTACAGTATGTGATGGAACGTATAGGCCAAACTTTTTTTTGTTCCAACGTCTCACCCGCACAGTGGCCGTATACTTTTTAATACATTTTTCGTTGTAATAAAAATATAACTTCACATACATATTTATAAATAATTTATAATGAAATTACATCATTTCTATGGCCAAGGGCGGCATAAGGCATGGGCGACGTGGGCCACCGCCTACAGCCTCGCGCCTCGAAGGTTTATGCATTACTTAAAAGCCGTGAACACGACGGAAAAATTTTACTCCTCATAAAACGATAAATAATTTGCATTTTTATGAATAAAAATTTGACAGTTTCAACTGCTTTTTATTTTATAAAATCAGTCTTCTTGCGCCACCAGAGGGCCTTTAAACAATAGGCAGTCTGTTAAGTGCCGGTTAGTAGTAGTCCAAATTCAATACGAACATTTGTTTCTTGAAAATTTGATCACGATTTAAATACAGTATTTATTTTTATTACTACCGATATGTCATCGAAAAGAAAACATGTTGTACTATCATTAAAGACAAATTGGATATAATCAATGGTTTGAAACGCGGTGAGTCTGGACGTTCATTATCTAATATGGTATTGGAACGTCAACGATCTGATATAAAAAAAAACAAAGTGAAAAAAATTATGAAATTAAACAATAATTGAATTTCTTAATAAAAAATAATTCGATATTGATGCTACAGTATACAGTAGAACCCCTCTAGTCCGCCCTCGGCTAGTCCGTCACTCCGGTTAATCCGACCGTGGTCAGAGTCGAGAAACTTGTCCCGACTCGTCAGTGACTCACCGTCCGTAGCGTTCTTCTGTGTTCGTTATAGTATATGTTTTACATTGTGTGTGTTTTCAACATGCCAGGAGTGAAACGTAAACACGTTACTCTTTTATTAAAAGAAAAATTAGCAGTGCTACAAAGACTGGACAAAGGGAAGATTGTTTACTTTACTTTTTTCTGATAATCCGACCTTTTTTGGGTTCCGACCATACCCCCAGTCCCAAAGGTGACGGATTAGAGGGATTCTACTGTATGTAAATCTAGACAAATAAAAATTATTCATACTTTATGTACTGTACATGTCTTTCACTGTCAATTATTTTTTCGATTATACGGATTTTTCCTTATTGGGACTATTTCCATCCCCAATTAGTCTGGATAATCGAGGTTCTACTGTATTTTATTTACCTTAAACAGAATTCAATTTTATGAAAATTTAACAGATTTTTAGTATAGATATTGGTCTGTAATGTGATAATTATGGCATCCTAGATATGTTCTCTTGACTATAAAATCATTATTTTATTTCTCTAATGATTCAATTGTAGAAGTAATCAGCAAACAAAAAAAATGTACAAAAATATTGTAAAACTAATGTTTAAAACTACAGATTAATTAAATATAATGAGAAATAATTTTGTTTATTAAATAACATTAAATATCATATATTTAAAACTATTTAATTGAAATCATTTTAAGCATTTATAACTCAATACTTGTAATAGTAAACTAGTTAAGTTTCTAAAACATAATACAGATCTTTAAATTTTTGGTCTGTACTTTGATGTTATTCAATAAATACAGTAGAACCTCGAAAACTCGGCCTAATGTGGACCGAAGGGTGGCCGAGTTTGTGAAAATGCCGGGTTATCGGGAATGGGGTTAAAAAAAAAATAAGTTTCCTCAGAAAATACTGTACTGTACTTGTATGTATTGTTTACTTGAGAATATAACAGAGAATAAACTGCTTAAATACCCTTAAACAAAGGAAAAGTACGTCCTTTATGAAGGCATAGAGCCTTTACTACATGAAAATGAAAATTAATGAATACACTGTGTACAATAATTTACCTGATAAGACAGACCTCAGAAAAATACTTTATGAGAGCTTTTATACTTTTATAAAGCTGTCTATAATGAAAATTAATTAACTAAGGATTTTTTTGCCCTGCCAGGGTGTGGCCGAGTTATCCGGAGTGCCGAGTTTTCGAGGTTCTACTGTATTAACATTAATTAAAAAACATACTGTATTGGCTTTAGTCAATATTTTCCCAATTTAAAGGGCAGAAAAAAAAATTGCTTTTGACTTATATTCAAATTCAATTAAAGTTTTCTTCAATTTTGATAACTGTCAGGATACATGTTTATAGAGTTAAACTGATACTAAAATTGTTGCGTCAATTGTTTATTGATGCTAGACACCAGCCAAGTTATGACCTGTCATGCTGCAACCTGAAAAATTTTCATCCCATTGGGAAAAAATTTTTAATGAAATTTTAAGAGATAATCATCATACTAATTTTTTTCAAATAATCCTGTATTTATTATTTTCCCTTAAAGATTTACCATAAAAAATTTTTAAGTTCATTTCATAATTGAATAATTGTTATATTTCATAAATGTTTATATTTATTTTTATTAATTATTAAAGGTTATTAAAGATTCAATAAATAATGTAAATACCATATTCTCCATTGGTCAATTCATCATTTTCTTCATGTTCATCTTCATGAATATGATGATGTTGAGGGGTTTCAGTAACAGCAAGCAATGCAGCTGAAACTTCTTCTTGCCGTTTTCTGGCTTCTTCCACTTCTGCTTGAAGACGTCTAGTTTCTTCATCTTTCTGAGCAACTTCTTCTTGGATAGTTTGGACTTCTAATTGTTTACGACGGATATCTTCTTCCTGAAGTATTCCAAAAATTTTATATGTAATAGTTGCTATTGTCATTATAAAAGATATTTTACACATTAAAACTTTTATTTTGATTTGAAAGAAAAGCCATGAGAAATACATTTTAAAGCCTATTTGGAATGGAAATTATTTTTATATTACTATTATTGTTAATAAACATAGCATCAGCCAATACAATACTTGATGACAATTTTTGTAAAATTTCAGAAATCATTTTATTCACATTTTTAAACAAAGTAAGTGTTCAATCTCAAGTGACTAGTGAACTCAGTACAACAAATCAATGTAAATAATACAAATTTGTTAAACTTTGTCTAAATTTCAAATATAATCATAAATTCTATTCCTGTTCAAGCAAACATTTTTGTTTTATGAACTATTTTCAATCAAATATTTAATAATCATCAGCTGGTGTTTGTAAGATGAAAACATTTCTTACAGTAAAAGTTTATTTAATATCCTCAATTAAGCAGTTTATGTTGTATGATCAAGTACAATAGTATCAAGATCAATACACTTTACATTTTTTAACAAATTTTATTTTTTACTTTTATATGCATGTTTGTTAAATTTCTTTATCTCATAAAATATTCTAATTTAGATATAAATTGGAACAAAGATTTTTAAGTAACAACGATAATACACATGTGCAAGAGACATGACATTTGTTTTTAAACACAATTCATATTTACATTACTTTTTCAAATAAAATATTTAGATATGAAAAATTAATAGAAGCTGACATATTCATTAATGTATTCAACACAAAGATATTACTTGGAGAAAAAAATTATATCCCTATTCTTTACATAACTAGTAAAAATTGTAAATTGTAAAACAAAAATATACACAGTTTTTTGATTGAATTAGTTTCTTTTTGAAACCTATGTAAAATTTGTTTTAAATTTCATTCTTCTATTCAGTATAGATATTCTCTAGAAGATAAAAACTTAAGTATAACTTACTAATTTGGCTTTTTCCTCAGCTTCCATTGCTTTATTTTCTTCTAATTTACGCATCATGTCTTCAAGTTCCTGCTGTTTCTTTTCCAACTCTTCTTTGGCTTGCTGCATCAATTTCAGTTGTTCTTCTAAGCGACGAATAGTTTCCTGTGCTTCTCTCAATTCTAAATACAAAAAAATTGTTCACAAACTAATAAATAAAACTTGAACAATAATTATACAAATATGAATATAGTAGAATTGAGGAATATAAAAATATTAAATTTTGATATATTTAAATAAATCATATTAAAAATATTACCTTCTTGTCTTCTTGTCATTTCCTCTTGCATTTGTTTTAATCTATCAGCATATTCTTGTTGCTTACGCTCAGCCAACTCACGAGCTTCCATTTCTCTCCTCAATTTTTCTCTAAATAAAAATTTCACAAAATCTTATTTGATATATTATAAAAAAACTTACAGTAACTTTATAAGTTATAATATTTCCCCACACATTTTTCACCGCTGCATATTTTTCACATCCATATTTCCAAGAAATGCTTTTAGGGAAAACAAAATATTCTAGTGTTTTTTGTGTGGAAAATGCAAGACTTCTCATACTAAACTGTTTAGTGTAGGAAATAGAACACAAGTCAGCCAACAAGAATTTTTACAGCATATAGGTGCTTTGTTTATCCTCATTCCCTTGTATAGGCTTAACAGTACACTATCTTTGTACTTGCTGGAGGCTATGAAGTTGGGGAATAAGGGGAGTTGTTAACTGTGATGCTTTATAGCACTTTAATAGGTTCCTTAGTGTCTTACTGAGTAAAGTTAACTGCAACTTCATAAGATGGCAAGAAAAAATAAGTTTTACCACAGTATAAAACTAAAGTACTCTGCTTTGTGGAACAGAACGGAAATTGAGAGCAAACAAAAATTCAGTGTCAGTGAGGCACTTGTTTGCTACTGTGTAAATAAAATGCTCTAAGCAACACAAAGACCAATATGAGGGCATTTCGTGGTCTCAAGACTGGAAAGTATCCCCAACTTCAGGAAGAATTGTTACAGTATGTTGAAGAAATGCACAATGATGATTGTGCTGTATCATGTGATATTTTCAATATTGCTCAAACATAAAATATTTCTTTCCTCAAGTTTATGGCTAGTTGAGAATGGGTCAGCATATTTACAAAGAGAAAAAATATCTGTATGTAGAAAACCTACATTGTGTCAAAAGTTGAATAAATAGTGAGTAACTACTGAAATAATCTACTTTCGATAATAATTTGTATATCTTTTGCATCTCAATTTTTGATTAGTAGAAAGTGGCAAAAAAGTGCAAAAAAATACATGTGAAAACACAGTATAACTAATTTCACCAGATTACTGATAAAATTGGTAATAACTTTTGATTTATTTAAATTCATTAAATTTAATCATTAATTATACTAGTCAGAATTTAAAACTACATATAATTTTTATCCAGTTAACTATAGACCAAAAACAAAACTTCATCTCACACTTTTAATTCAATGAATTATTAAATTATGTTTTATCTACATTATAAACATCTGAATAGCAATTAATAAAACTTTTCAAACCTTTCTTGTTGTTTAGCAAGTTTTTCTTCTCGTGCTTGTGCTTTCATTTGTTGCACTTCAATAGTATCAGGTTTGCGACGGCGCATATATAACTCATGATTTCCCATACATAGAGCAAGTATTCTTTTATTAATTCTTAAACGAGGAGCAAAAAATACGAAGTCCTATAACAAATCAGATAGGATAATTAAATTAAAATTAATTAAATTACATTATAATTTTAAATTATTTAAAATTCATACTGGAGCTTTCTTGTCAATTGGTTTAATGACAAACTTTCTATCATTAAATGATATATTTCTTATTTCACTCCATGGAAAGCCAATCTTTGGAGTAAGTCTAATTGGAAAAGAAATTTTTAAAAATTATTACTAATACCAAAAAATTAAGAAAATAAATAAATAATTTAAAAATTATATACTTGTCATCCTTTTCATATATATTTAAGCCAAGTGCATCTACTCCTAACCATAGATCAGTTCCTTTCTTATTTTTTATCTCAAAATAATTTACTCCATACATTTCCAAATCTTGAGCGATTTTCAAATATTCCATCATTGCATCCTCCCTGTAAAGTTAAATAATTCAAAATAATTCACCAAGCAAATTTATTTTTTTTAAAGTTTGTCCAAATTAAACAAGACAAAAATGTAATGAAAATGTTGATGTTTTTAATCAAATAATTAATTAATTTTTATGTTTAAGTCTAGGCTCAAAAACCAGTTTTTTTAGTTGGGAAAACCCAGTTTTCAAATTATATGAATTTCTTCAAAACACTGGTTTTTCAAAACTGGGTTTTAAAAACTGACAAACCCTAGTCATCAAAAATCAGTTATTTAATTAAAAAATTAATATTGCTTAAAATATTACAGAAAGTAGCAAAACTTTTTGCTAAGTGTTTAACCTGGAATGTTTTCTATATGAGAAATGAAGTGATCACAAAAGTAATGCATATCAAAAATTTAATAAGCAATCACATGTATTGGCTGCATAAATTATTAGATTTATAACATAAAAAGTTATAAGAATTTTATCAGATAAGTGTATTTGTCATGATATCTCAAATAATGCTGTTATGAAATAAACAAAAATTTTACAATTTTAACAATGTGTCTTGCCGAAATTAATTTTTTTCATTTTTGTTGCACTGTGTTGTGTGCAAAAAAACAATATCTACTGTGTCATAATTTATTTCAAATTGTTGTTGTGTTGAGTCATGATCAAAGTAATGGTCCAAGCATCAATGTACACAGATTTTTTACTGTAATACCCACATTTTTCCAACTTCTTACGGTACACAAATGCTCACATGGCATCTCTCAGACACTAGCATTTTTTTTCTCAACAATTATTTGTGTAGTGAAAAAAATGTCAACCACAGACATCTGAGTTAGGAAAATAAAAATGTTTTCAAATTTTGTAAAATTTTTACAAAATTTTAAATATAAGAGATGTTGAAAAATATATGCTGTAATATCTCAGAGATTCCACAAGTCCCAAAAGGTTAACCAAGTTCTGCATCAACCAAAGTGAATTGTGAAAGAGTCAATAAAGAAAGGAACACAGTTTAATACAATTCATTTCATGAATCTAGGTCAGAGATTCATGATACTTGAAAGGAGCTCTAGACATTTTTAAAAGAAATTACTTTGATGACTTCAAACAAGAATACAAATTTTAAAAACATTCAAAGAAATTTTAATTGTAATCATAAAACTTTGATTTTATAATAATATTTTGTATTTTATTGCTCACTTTGCACTAAACAATGTTATCTAATTTTTGATTATCCAAGAAATACTTGGGCCACATTATCATGGATAATTGGAACTATAAAGTTTTCATATCACATTGAGGCAATAAGTTACAACCAAGTGTTATAAATGCCAGTGGGTATTATTTCCTGGTTAATATGAAATAGTAATGAAATTATTGTGTAAGAGTTTAGAATTTAATTTATAATCTACAGAAATTGTGCTTGGAATGTGGTTGATGTAACTCTTATCCTATTTGCTCTATAATAAAGAATTGAGAGTTCAAATTCTGTGAGCCAAACAATCCAATTAATATCAAATTATTAATTTGACATTAATCATTATTTAATCACAGAAATGATCAAGAAATGATTTATCTAATGATGTTATTCCTTGGCTACATTCACACAGCTAAGCCAGCCTTTTGGATACAATGTAATAATATATTATATAAGTATTTCAAATAAATCAGGCTAATTATATAGAAATTATAAATATTTACCCTGGCATTGCTTTATGCTCTGCCCACCAGTTAGTTATTCTTTCATCCCATTGTTCTTTAGATAATTTATGCTGATCCATCACTCTAAAATCAGAAAATACATGCATTTTCAAATTCCAAAAATTCTATTATTTTAAGCAAAAGTGTACTATACCTTTGTGGAAGTAATCTATCAGCAGATAAGCATCCTAATTTGTGCTTTTCAGGATTATAATCTCCATATTTTCCCTGTACCGCATAAGATGCTAGAAGGACTGATGTTTCTGGTGGACAATATATTTCATCAGCAAGAATACTATTTTTCACTTGTAAATAGAACAATCTCTGTAAATTAAAATATTTATAATAATAATTCAGCTAATGGAATTAAATCATTTTCAAAAACAAATAATAATTTCTAACAAGACCTAATTATTAAAAAAAAAAGTCTTACCACAGTATTATCTTGAATCAGTTCTTCGGCAACATCCTCAGGATAAAATTTAGCACGAAATTTGAATTGTAAAGGATTTTCTTTTTTTACATCTTGACCAAGAACCTAAAATATGTATTATTATGGTTTAAAATTTAACTAAAATGGTGTTTCTTGTAATTTCTATAATAAAAATATAAAAGGTATTTACCTTCTTATTTAATTTCAGCCAAGTAATATAATTTTTGCTGTCTGTATATTGCAGACCAAAAAACCATATCTCCCTAAGACCAATAGTTTTCACTACCTTTAATAATAAAGATAAAACATATCACCACATAATTATATCAAATTATTATAAATAATACAAATATTTGTTTAAAAAAATTCAAATTAAATAAATTTATTTCTATTTGCATTTCTTTGTCAATAAATATGCATTCACACACTACACACCCACACAATTTTTTCTTATTAATATTAACAATTTGACATTTATCTGATATAAAAATTAATTGTTTTGCATTTAAAATACAATACAGTGGGTGATCGGTTAATGAACATAATCTGTTCCTAAACTTTGTTCATTAACTAATTATCGATTTATCATAGGTTTTTATGGGAATTTGATTAATTTGTTCCGGAGATTCCAAAATATAAAAAATATATACTTTTTTACTACATTTATTAATATTTAATAGTAAAAATACACATATATGAGGTCTTGCATTTTTATTAGTCATGTTTTTTCCGTTTGTGGGGGTTAAAGAATCTGTCCAATGTCAATTGCTTTTCTCATTTCTTCAGGATTTTTCAGAAGTAATTACTAATATTGTAACTGTAGAGATCCCCAACCCCTTTAACCTTATACTGGTTTGAATGCCACTTGGATAATCATTGTTTTGTTGGATGATTGTCGTTCTGACATCCTCCCACTTCTTAAAAAGATCTTTAGTAGCAGATGTTGACATTGGTCCTCTTTCATCTTCCTCATTTTCAAAAGAAAACATATCTCGCTGGGTTTCTTGGTGTTGTTCATTTGAGAGTTCTTGGAGTTCTTCTGTCATCAGATCAGTTTCCATTATGAGCTCTAATGCTCTTTATTTCTCAGATGTGATTTTCATTACTCCATTAGCGGCTTGAGGCTTCTTGATATATCTTTCATAGCTAAGATTGTGCCTACTGTAGACCTGTTCAAGCCATACTGCCTAGTGACATCAGACATCTTGTGCCCACTTTCTACCTTGGCTATTATCTCTTATTTGGTTTCTATAATGAGCACAGTTCTTGACACTTCTCTCTTTAGGCTCCATAATATTATCAGTTTCTTTTTTAAATAAAAAGTTCAGAAAAACACTTACAAAAGTTCAGAGAACAGAAATCGACTAGCCCACAAAATATTATTTAAATGCAAGGCCCGGATGAAATTTGGTATTAAAACGTTAACGAATATCCAATGGGATAGTTAAACTTTCACCTTTCATAAACAAACTCCAATGCAAAACTTAACAAGTGTCTGTCTGACAGTCTTGTGAAGACTATAAAAAATTATTTGTCAGAAAGGTAAACAAAAAGCTGGAATTACAAGGGAGAGTTTCAAAATTCAGAGGAATATTATACTATCCGATCGGTATCGAGTTGAGCGTCGATGTTGACGTCTCCTGTGCTCTAAAAGGTTTTGAATTGTTACCTGAAGAAATCAATCGGTATTCGTTATTTTCCGTTGCTTCTTTTTATGTTTGTTCAGTAAAGTGTTCATTATCTGAACATGAGTTTGTTATCCGATCATAAAAAATCTTTCGTGAAAGTGTTCGTTATGTGAAACCACCGGAAGGGGGTAGGTCTCCCAATCCGGCAACAGGTTGTTAAACCCTTTCACTGTCAGGATGGATGGTTGGAGGATTCTTTTTCCCATTGTAACGGGTCGAGTGGCGGAGGGAGGAGCGCGTCGGTGAGACGACAGGCGATATACGAGAAAACGAGGAGGCCAGATATAACATAAGAAAAATTAACAATTTATTAAACCAAGTAATACAACGTATAGTTCGCGTCCCTAAAACGCGGGGAGACCGAGAGAGAGCTTACAATAATTGGTTCCATACCTCTTGATCTGTTATCCACGCTACTCTTTGAATTAGGAAAATTTCTCTTCTAGGAAAGTTCACTGATGTAGGAAAGGTCACTGTTTAACTATTTGAATCCTGGATTTAGGGAAGTTCACTAGACAAAAAGGACACTATTTGAAATTG